GATAAGGCATGTGCATGCATGCTGGTAGTTTGCTTGATCCGAGCCGGAGAATAATATTCTTATTCACGCCTCTGTGTCAATTCAAATTGCTTGGAAAGTAAAAAGATTTAGTGCACTTCCGGCAAGTGAATCTCCTCCCTAAAAGTGATGCAAAAGCAGTCTGAAGTAAAATACGTTTAAATATTGTGAAATATGCACATAAAAACTGGTCAAGATGAGCATTTGTAAACCAATTAACTCACCCACATGAACCTTAGAAATGTGTTCTTTTAAAAGGCCTCGACGAGAGAAGGATCTACCACAATTCTGGCAAGTGAGAAGGTTATTTTGCATTGCTGGTACCTAAACATCAACCACCAAAAAATGCAAAAATTAAATCCCTTTTATCAATGAAGTTGACTCACTCTCCTGAACCTTGAAAACGTGGCGGTTCGAGGTGCTGCTACACAAAAACGCCTGTTCGCAATGTTCGTACTTAAACGGCCTCCCTTTAATGCATATCAAGGGCATTCACAGCAAACACGAGATGTCGGCATAAATTTATGAAGGGTTAAAACATGCCTAATGGAATCACCCTGTTAAAAATGGCTGGAATGCCCTAAACGTGCAGGTAGAATAAAATCAGGCGTTCGCTAAATCGACTAACCATGAGTGCGACAGCCAATGAAGCGCATTGTAGGGGGACGGGATGATCCCCTTCTAACTAGAAACATGGCAATGATACCGGCTCGACCTCTGCAAATCCTGCATCGATAAGCCGCTTTCACACTTGGCTTTTTTAGGCGCCTCCACAGTTGTAACGTTACTAGTTTAGTCAGAGTAGAGCATTCCTTAGGGTACGTGTTTCAATTGTTTGCGCCGTGTAAAACCCTCTTTCTAAGCAGCACTTTGAAACATTCAGCCATTCTGTGTAAAGCCGATTGCAAGCAAACTGTTCACGAATTTTGGATTCACATAACCAGAAGCCTTCGTTACCAAAACAGATTCACACAGGACAGTATGCCCTCGCATTATGCAACATAGTCAATGCCAAACACGAGATGTTAACAGTGACATGTATTGTTAATAATACCAGTTTCAGTTTGTCAGTATGCTACATACCTAAAAAAAGCAGCAGAATCTCATGCGGAAAGAGGAGATAAAAATCTTGCTACGTGCGCATGCGATGTGCGGCCGGTTGTCCGTCATAATCAAAGCGCACACGTAGCAGTGATTCAAAAACACCAACAACAGTGTCGCCAAAGATGACAGCTCCACCACAGATTTCGTCAACCACAAGGCAAGGCAGGAGTGGAAGGACGACCTCACGAGTGCCCCTTCTTTCACCCTGTGCGTCGCTTTTTTCTTTCAGCTCTCTCTTTCTTTTTATCCCCTCGTATATGCTTCCCTAACTCCTAACACATTTGACTCGTTCTTCACAAGGTTTTAGTCCCAAATTTCTTGATTATTCATCCATTCTTGTCATCATGATCGGTCTATTCATTACAAATTTTACTGAGTATTTACTGCTATTTATTGCTTTCTTCAGTTAGTATTCATGCCATTCTGTTATTGTTTAAGTTAAGAATGCTAGTCCATAAATTGAACTAGTGCTTCTTACAGCCTCATTTTTGCTGGTCTCTGGTCGTAGCTTTTTTCACACTGCTTTACTTTGATATGGCCCACACTAAAATTTGAATATTCGAAAGCTATACAAACCGAAGGCCACAACAGTCTTTCCAATTTGTTGGGTTGGCGGTCTCACCTACTTGGTGCAATAAAATCTTGAAATATTCTCCCCGAATGAAAGTAGTGGTTTGTGCGTTGAAGTTAGAGAAATTGAACTGATTGGAAGTTGCAGCCGTCACTGGTAGATGCACTGCTGTGTATGCAGACAGTGCAGGCCAGTGCTATGTACGTGTCTATAGTTTCGGCTATGCATACTCCAGATGTGATTTGAGAGAAACGATTCCAGATAATGAATAATTCTAGGAGGAATGTGATATCACAACATACTTTCTTCCATGAAGCAGCAAACTTGCCTGTTTAGGGTGTGGCCCTGTAATTCAGAAGGGTCTGAATGCACAATTGAATGCATTAGATTAGTAATTATTTACTACGAGACTCGATGTCACTTATTTTTGTTTCTCAAGTGACACAATGCATTGAAAGAAAAATAAATTTCATTGGTTTGTTTCCAATTACCCTCAGATAATGACCTAAATGCGGCTTGAAATTCGTTGCATCTATTGGGTTTTAACCCAATGGAAAGAGTCACAATCTCGTGATCTGGAATCCTTATTTACGAAATCGCCATAACCTCGGTTAATGGCGTTGACATCAATCCACAATATCATGCTATATGAACAGTTAGCAAGTTGGAGAACTCGTGAGATGGTGAATTGGAGCAACGTGTACAGGAGAACAGATGTTGGTTTGTCTGCGATTGGGAAATAGAGGTGAATATTAGAAAGTCCCCATTTCTTGCATCAAGGAAAATCTGGTAATTTGGGAAATCCTTCAATCCACTACTAAATTTTGTTTGTTTAATTTGCATTTAAACCGACGGTTGTGGTGTCAGGTGCTAGACCCGACTCCCGACAATACTTGGTTATTCGTGCAGTGGTAACCACTGCACACGTGAGCCAATGGCATGAATATACTTAATTCGCTGATGCTTATGCAAAATATGAAAAACAATGACAGCTCTAATTCCAAATATCTGCGAGATGTGTGCACTGATGCTGTGACAATATTGGAGACTTCATTTGTGCGTTTGACAATTGAAAACTGTGAATACTGGGAGCACTTGGCTAGTGTTCATCCCATCGTTGGATTTCAAACAAACGCCATTTATTTCACTCCTTTTGTCACATGTCCTGCTGCCTGGCAGTCGACATTAGCCTTTTGATCCTGGTGCAAAACAAATAGCAGGTGATATCAACCGGGTCGCCACTGTTTTGGTCTGGTTCGCCAATGCCTTTGATTTGTAGTTTCTGTGCTGTGGCAGTATATGTCTGCATACAAGCTAGACCAATATCAAAACACTGAGAAGGTGAAGAATTCGGAACAGTCATCTTGAATGAAGAAGGCGTCGGGGTCAGCACACGTGGTGGGTATGTGCATTGGGTATCCTGTCAGGCTGATGAAGGTTGCCAAGTCCGCAGTCACTGACCGCGTTCACTGCATGTAGTGCTGGTGGTAGGCAAGGGGCTTCCAAATGCCGTGAATAGTTAAGGCTTTTCTATCATTGCTCCAATTCGGATCGCATTTCGTTGCATTAGCAGCATCTGAACTACTGTGCTTCTCTTGCTTTGGTGAATACTTTTAATGTGAAGTTGTGCAAGTTGAAAGCGTTTGAAGTGTTCCAATGCACAGCAATGTGGTACAAATTCGTGATGGCAATTGTAACCACCAAAGCAAATCACTTTGACATTAATATCACTTTCTCACTTTAGCCAAATATCAAATAACATGGAATTTGTTTTTGCAGAAATTAATGGTCAAACAATTTGCTAATAATGCAATATTTCCAGGCATTCCAACTATTAGAATTACTGACGACAGTCGCAATGACAAGTCCATCTTACATGACTGTCATTTCACCAGAAATGTTGCGCCAGACTTTCCTGACACACGTTACCCCAAATGATCCGTTTTGGTCGAGAATTTGCTCCTGTGACTGGATTCAATGTGACCGCGAGTCTGCAGAGAAGTGCAAAAATGAAATCTTGTGAATCGAATGTGTTCTAATTCGGACCCCTGTTTATCAATGGTGGAGAACGAGTGACCGGTTCTTTTCCAGGCTCTACGAACATCAGTTACTGTCGTGCAAAATTAGAGCATGGAGTGGCACTGTCAGTGGATTCGAACACCATTTCACCATATCGCACCACCAGAAAATTGTGGCAGCGCTGACCCACTACTTTGGGTGTGCACACATTGAAATGGCGTGATGTATGTTGGAGACCGTGTGAAGTCAAGGTTAGATTGAGACTACAATCAATCAAGCTGTGGATGAATTGGCTCTTTTGCA